CGCATTGTCTGTCTGTCTGTCCGTCTCGATGACGTCTACCCAAACGGGTTGGCCGACGTCTTAAGGCTAGAGAGAGGATCGGATCAGATCAGATCACGTAGTCTCTTGGCTCATTTTAGCCGACTCAGCTTTTAACCCTTCGCACTCTGGGCCCAGCCGTCTCTTGCCTCGGCAGCACACATACAAACACACACGCACACACACACACACACACATTCTTTCTGTATGTGCTGTTCACGCAAGACTGATTGCCTGAACTGTCCGGTGATGCACACTCGGCAAATCACACTCTCCTCGGCCTATTTTCCTTGAAGAAGTCAGTCCTTTTGTATGCCTGTGTGTGTGTGTGTGTGTGTGTGTGTGTTGTGTAGTTGCGTGTGCTAGTCGAGGCCAGGCAGAAGAGCGAGTCTGCGAGGTGTGTCCTGCCAGCGGCTCGTCTGTGCCGTCGGGCCGAGCAGTCGGGCAGTCGGGCAGTCGGGCAGTCGGGCCGGCCAGGCGGCGAATGAGTCGGTTGCGGCTGCATGTGACCGACGAATGGTCATTTGTGCACACTCGCCTGGCCCCGATTGTGTCCGCACGTCTCGGTCCGCCGCACTCTTCGCCTCCGCCGGTCGTCAGGATGCGTTGTGGATTCCACGTTGCCAGGGTCCTCCTCTGCTTGCTCAACTTTGCTTTTGTGGTAAGCCAGAAGCGCCTGTCTCTCTTTTCTTCTTCTTTATGCCCGCTTGCCCCCCGCCACTCACGTTGCTCGAGCCGGGCCGCCGGTCGACGCGACGACGCGACGACGCGACGACTCAACCTCGTCCCAGCCAATCAGGAAGCCGGTCGAGGTCCCGGCCGCCACGCCCTTCGGGCTGGTGTGGAGGCACGAGGCGAGGGGATTGTTGTCGCGACTGTCTTTTGGCAGCAAAGTGTGCGCTTGTCTTGCCGACTGGACGAACCAGACGGTCGGTAGGGAAGGACAGGGCGGTTGCAGAACGACGCAAAGCGGCCGTCGTCTTTCGGTGAAGTCGACAGACGCACTTTTTCACACTTTTGTGCCAAAAACACACATGCAGTCCAAGCTAATGCTGTATGAAGAGAATCT